GGCTCCTATTTTATTTCTGTCCAGATTTCATAAGGATTGATAAACAGGAAGAAGTGATCTAAATATAAGGATTCTGCCCCCCTACCCCACCCTCAGACTCTGGCCTTGTCTGGTTGTGGTCGAACCAGCAGAATCACAGCTGGGTTTGCTTGGCGCCATCTTCATGCCTGTCTAATACAGGAAATTATTATTTGATCACCCTCAGACTCTGGCCTTGTCTGGTTGTGGTGGGACCAGCAGAATCACAGCTGAGTTTGCTTGGCGCCATCTTCATGCCTGTCTAATACAGGAAATTATTATTTGAAGATAAAGAAAACCACAGTCAACACCTTTCCTCCATAATCTGATACAGCTTTGGAGCCGTATGAGCCTATGAGTCAGGTAAGAGGCTCTGCAGCCCAGACACAAAGAACCAGTGGGCCCGTGAGCTCAGGTACTGCAGCTACAGAATCAGGAAGGGACTTCCGGTTACAGGGGAAGAGGACAGATCCTGAACAGGGACCAAGAGGTGACCACTGCCGCATCAGAGGGTCAAAAAAAACCCAACTCACTCCACATTATTTTAAAATGAAAGAATTTGAAGGCAAGTCCATTGAGATAGAAAATAGACTTCATTTCCTGGAGATTAACTCTAAGGGGACATAAGGGATTTTTACGGAATGGTGGAAATGTTCACAGTGGACTGTAAACCAGTTGCACAACTTGGTAAATTTATCATTTATCAGAAATCACCCAACTGCATGCTTACAATGAGTGAATTTTACAGTGTGAAATGTAAACCTTAATAAGGTCTTTTTTTTTTGGTCTTTTTGAGACAGGGCTTCCCTGGAGCCCCAACTGGTCTAGAACTCATGTAGACCAGGCTGGCCTCGAACTCACAGAGATTCACCTGCCTCTGCCTCCCGAGTGCTGGGATTGGTCTTTTTTAATGAAATAGTTGTGCAGGTCTCAAGGAAAGAAGGCCCAGCTCTTCCGTGTGTCTGCTCTTGACCAACCTCTTTTTCTGGCCTCTGCCCTGGTCCTCCGCCACACACACCTACTACTCCTTACAAATCAAAGTGCTTTCAATTTCCTGAACACACCAGCTTTCTCTGGCTCTCTCCAGAGTCCACATGTTCACTGCCTGCCAACTAGAGTCGCTGCAGGTATCTCTACCTCTGCAGACAACACAGTGAAGTCAGATCTGTCAGGTTGGCAGCGGGGTGGTATTGCCGCCCTGAGACTTCTGAATGCCATGAGCTACTTCTGAGGCCCCTTTTCCTGGGATACGCCTTTCCCTCAGAGAGTTCACTAACTCTTTGCTTAGAAGTGAGGCTTTTTTATTTATTATTTTTATTTTGTGTGTGTGAGTGTATTGCCTGTATATATATAAGTGCACCTGTGTTGTATATTGCCGGTGGAGGTCAGAAGAGGGCATTGGATCCCCTGGAACTGGAGAGACAGTTGTTAGCTGCCATGTGGGTGCTGGGAATCAAACCCAAGTCCTCTTCAAGAGGCCATCTCTTCAGCCCCAGAAGTGAGGCCATTTCTAAGACAAATCTTGCCTTATTTGTCAGGTGATATGACAGGGCTATCACATGATAGAACCCACATTGAAATTCCTCAGAGGACAGGGACAATGGTAACCACCATCCTTTCCGGAACCAACCTGCTTGTTCCTGATAATTGAGATGATGCAATGAATATGTGAAGACCCCTTGACTGAGCATTTCCATGAACACACGTCTTCTCATTTAACTTTCCCAACTACTTCCTAACAAAGGCCATTACAGGACAGCCTGCCTCTGCCTCCCAAGTACTTGGACTAAAGGCCTGTGCCACCACACCTGGCTATCATAGACATTTTATTGAGCCCCACTAGAACAATAAAATCATTAGGATTTTAATATCAGACATCTGGTAACATATTTAGGGGAGTTATAGAATCTTAAAATGTTCATTTATTGGCTGTGAGGGTTAGTACTGTCAACTTAACAACCTCTAGAGTCACCTGGGAGATGGGCCTCTGGGCATGTCTATGAGGGATTATTTTGAGGTGGGAAGACGTGCCCATTATAGATGTCCACATGCCCATCCCTTGGCTGGACTCCTGAACTGCCTAGATGGAGACAGAGAACTGAACAACGTACGTACATGCATTTGCAGTCTTCTTCCTGATCGTGGATGCAGTGTGACTAGCTGCTTAGGCTCCTGCTGCCTTGCCTCCCGCCATGATGGACTGAACCTTGGCTCATGAGCCAGAGCAAAGCCTTTCTCCCTTGAGTTGCTTTTTCCGGGGTATTTTATCACAGCAACAGGAAAAGAAACCAAGACACTGGCTCCGACTCGAAGATGAAGACCTGCCATATCGTCCTCTAAATCCAGGAACCAAGCCTGCCTGTCCATTAGGAAATCACCTCTCATACCTTGTGGTGGATCATATCAGCAGCACGAGCAACCAAAGGGAGACATTCATAGGCAACTTGGAGGAGAGTGAGGTGAGGGACAGTGTCTTCAGCTAACCTATCAGCAAAGGCCTGGGATGATTCCTGTGTAGGATCTGTGTATGACTCAGCATCAGAAAGGACCCCATAGGTCAGGAGCCTATTACCTAGCCTTGGAGATGGCAGCTGGGTCTTGGGAATCATCCTTTAATGATTTGACTATGAAATGTCCCCTATAGGCTCATGTGTTTGAACACTTGGTCTCCAAATGGGGAAGCTATTTCAGGAGGTTGTAGAACTTTGGAACTGTGGCCTAACTAGCAAAAGTGGGTTTCTGAGTTGGGCCTTAAAGGTGATATCATCCCTAGTTCCACCCTGAGCTCTCTGTTTCCTGATCCACCAAGATGTGAGAGGAAGCAGCAGCAATATGCTTCCCCTGATGGAAATGCAACCCCTGGACCATACCACTCCACCATGCTTACCCCACCATAATTATATGCATATAAGCATGAGATAGTACCACTCTTACTTGGGGTAGGAGACAATTTCTTAAACAATACATGCAAAGCATTAACCATAAAGGTGATTATCAATAAATCAGAGAGTACCTCACATCAGCATAAGAATTCCACTCATTTTTAAGCAAATAGAAAGGCAGGGCATGATGGTAGATGCCTTTGGTCCCATTCAGGAGGCAGAGTGTCTTAGTTACTTTCTATTGCTGTGATAAAAACACTGGCCAAAACCAACTTGGAGAGGAAAGGGTTTGTTTTACCGCACATCTCCCAGGTCACAGTTCCATCACTGAGAGAAGCCAAAGCAGGAACTCAGGGCAGGAAACTGGAGCACAGACCATGGAGGAATGCTGATTACTGGCTTGCTCCTCCGGCCTGTGCTCAGCCTGCTTTCTTATACAACACAGGACCACCTGCCCTGGGGATTGCACCACCCACAGTGGGCTGGACCCTCCCACATCACTCAACAATCAAGAAAATGCCTCACAGATGTATCCACAAGGCCAGTCCAATAGAACCAATTTCCCATTTGAAGTTCTCTCTTCCCACGTGTATCAAGTTCATAACTAAAGCTATCCAGCACATAGCGGTAGGAGAATCTCTGCGAGATCAAGCCCAGTCTGGTCTACATAGCATTCTAGGCTGAGAGACCTTGTCTCAAAAAAAGGGGGGTGGGGGCAGCTGGAGAGATGGCTCAGCAGTTAAGAGCACTGGCTATTCTTGCAGAAGAACCAGGTTTGACTCCCAACACCCACATGGCAACTAACAACTATCTGTAACTTGAGTCCAGGAGATCTGACACTGTCTTCTGTCCTCTGTGGTCACTGCATGACACAGGTGCACTTACACACATGCAGATATAACACTCACATACACATAAAATAAAAATGAAAAATGAAAAAAAATTGAAAGAAAGGAGAGAAAGAAAGAAAGGAAGAAGGGAGAGAAGGAGGGAGGGGGGAGGGAGGGAGAGAGGGAGGGAGACAGGAGAGAGAGAGGAAGGGAGAGAGGGAGGGAGAGAGAGGGAAGCAGGGAGGAAGGGAGGGAGGAGAGAGGGAAGGAAGGAAGGGAGGGAGGGAAGGAGGGAGGGAGGGAGGGAGGGAGGCAGGGAGGGAGGGGGAGGGAGGGGGGGAGGGGGGGAGGGAGGGAGGGAGAGAGAGGGAAGCAGGGAGGGAGGAGAGAGGGAAGGAAGGAAGGGAGGGAGGGAGGGAAGGAGGGAGGGAGGCAGGGAGGCAGGCGAGCAAGCAAACAAGCAAGCAGGCAGGTGGGACTGGAGAGATGGATCAGCATTTAGAACACTTGCTGTTCTTGCAGAAAATCTGGGTTCTGTTTCCAGCAGTCACATTTATCAAGCACCTCACAGTCACCTGTAACTTCAGTTCTAAGGAATTTGACATCCCCTTCTGGCCTCTACAGGCACTGCACACACCACACATGTGAGATACACACACACACACACACTCACACACACCTTAACACATCACCCCACCACTTCCTAAAGTCTGAGGCTGGTGACTATGCCTTTGGCTCTTTGGCACATGGAACTTTAAGGGACGTTAAGCTCCAAATCACGGCACTCCACGTACTTGATACACATACACTCAGGCACACACACATATACATTTTTTAAAAAAAATTTTAAGCAGAAAGTTGTATCACAGAGTAGGAGTAAATATTTGCAATGTATTTAACCAAAAAGAATACACAAAGAAGACCTATATGTCATTAAGAAAATAAAAATTTAAGAGGAAAAGAAGGAAAAAAAGAGTTAGGTAGACATCACTACAAAGTCTTTTTCTTCATCCTGTAAGGATGCCACTGGGACTGGCTCCCAGCTGCGCTCTGCTCAGTCTTTTCCTGGGCGCCAGTCAGAAGAGTGGCGGTATGTTCCCATTTCACCCCAGGGTCATTTAAACCTTACATGCAGACCTCACAATAAGGCCCAAGTTAGGTCAATTATGACACATTTAGTGCTTGGGACTGTCCCCTGAGCTCCCATTAAACTGTCCTAGGCACAAACTCCAGGCACTAACGCCTCCTGTCCTAGCCTACTGCCCAGAGTATGATTAGAGAATGGGAAAATTGTTATCAGAGGATGCGCACACAGAAGCCTGGACATCCAAGGGCTCAGGAAGGGACCGCTGCCAAAGGAGAGCTAAATAGCAGAATTTCACCCAGGATTCTCAGTGCCAGCCATCCCTGGATAGCTCAAAATTTCCCACGTTGCAAAGAGGACCTCTGCCCTGCAACACCACTGGGGTGAGTGTGGCCTGGGTACCAAGTCCTTTCTTACGTGGCCTCCGCCCAGCTAACATGGAATCACCCTCTGTGAGTTTCCCACTATGAGAAGAAAAACAAGAAAGACCCATTCCAGAGTTCTAATTCACCTATCTCTCTGCCTTTCAGGGTATGGACCACATTCTACAAATCAGACCCACGTATTGCCCTTGGAAAATACTCCCCAATGGAAAAAGAAATCCTAGTAAGTGCTCTGAAGTTTACATGGACAGAGGTCCCTCTGAAGTCTGCCTGCAGAGGTAGGGGGAACCCAAGGTTCAAAACCCACCGAAAAAGAAGTCTCCCCAACAGTAGGCTCGTGATGGCCTATGTCAACAGGTGGATTCCACTCTCTAAAGGTCCCAACTAGAAATCTAGTTTATAAGTGGGGCTACAGAGATGGCTCAATGAGTAACAGCATTTGCTGTGCAATTATGAAGACCTGAGTTCAAATCCTGCCACCTATACTAAAACACTGGGCATAGCTGTGTCTACCTGTAACCCCAGCATTGGGAGGCCGAGACAGATGGATCCTGGGAGCTCACTGGCCAGCCAACCTAATCACAAAATGACAAGCTTCTCATTCAGTGAGAGAGCATGTCTCAAAGGAATAAGGTAAAAAGGGAGAAGACAGCTGGTGTCTTCTGGCCTGCACACGCACATGTGCAGAAGCATGCACCCTCATACACACACACCATACACACACACACACACACACACACACACACACACACTAAGCCAGGCATGGTGACACATGTTTTTAATCCCAGCACATGGGAGGCAGAAGCAGGCAGATCTCTGTGAAATGGAGGCCAGCCTGATCTACATAGTGAGTTCCAGGCCATCTGGAGCTATAGAGATACACTGTCTCAAAAAAAAAAAAAAAAACAAAAAGAAGGGCTGGAGAGATGGCTCAGCTGTTAAGGAGCACTGGTTGCTCTTGCAAAGAATCTAGGTTCAGTTGTTAGCGCCCACATGGCAGCTAACAACCATCTGTAACTCCAGTTCCAGGTGATCAGATGCCCTGGGAACATCGCATGACATGGGTGCACTTACATACATGCAGGCTCATACAAATAAAATAAAAATAATAAATATTTTTAAAAGAAACAATGAACAGGAAATATGAGTGACAATAAATAATGAAACTAGTATTTCTTGAGCTCTTCTTACCTTGCATTGCACTGCACTTTGAGTGTGAAGTGCCCACCACAGGCTCACATACTCCAACACTTGGTATTCTACACTACACACGATCTGCACAAGATGGAGCCCATCAACGTTCAATCATGAATGAGAGAGGTCTCCAGACGAGAGAGAGCCTCACCCCTCCCTACACAAATGTAGGCAGTTCATGGTTGCTGGGGGAGGGGGAATGACTTTCTTCAAATTGCTCAAGCCCCAGTAAATCATCTCCACCAAGGTTCAGGTAAGCAACCCTGATTGAACTCTGTGGGTCACAAAAACAAACAAGCAAACAAAGATGTTAAACTAGGAGGAGGACTTGTTTGGGAGAAGAATGAGTTCAGCAGGATTGAGGAGTAAGAGAGGACAGTGGGGGTAAAAATGTCTGAAATATGTGGTATTTGTATGTGTGTGTGTGTGTGTGTGTCAAAGACTTTACAAAATAAAAGCAGGTGCTGAATTGATGACTCAGAGGGTAAGAGTCTGCACTGCTCTTGCAAAGAACCGGAGTTTGGTTCCCAGTACCCATGTTGGGTGTCTCACAACCACTTATAACTTCAGCTCCAGGGTATTTGATGCCCTCTTCTGGCCTCCAAAGAACCTACCTGCACATACCCCTAACACAGACACACACATAAATACAGATGATTAAAAATAAAATCAATCTTTTTAAAAAGTAGATTAAAACAACTAAAATTTAAAAGCTTAAAACAAAAAGAAGTATAGCCGTAAGTGGTAGTGGATGATAAAGCCGCCATTTCTTCAGCTCTTCTTACCCTGCCCTGTGCTGCACCTTTGAGTGTGACTCTAACACGGGCTCATGTGTTTCAACACTTGTCCCCCAGCTTGTAGAACTGTTTTGAGGCATTATGGGACCTTTAGGAGGAGGAGATTAGCCGGAGGAAGTGGGTCACTAGTGGGGGTGTCTTATGTGTCATAGCCAGGCCTTGTTTCCTGTCCAAGCTCTCTGCTTCCTGATCCTCTGAGATGTGAGCAATTTGACTCATACCCCCACCTGCCACCATGCCCTCCCTATCATGATGGACTGTATCCCCTCAAGCCGGAGTAAATCCTTCCTCCCTTAGGTTACTTCTTGCCGGGTATTTGGTGACAGTGATGAGAAAACACTGAACCTGCACTAGCTGCTGTCACATACGTTTTCTCGTTGAGGCTTCACAATAACTTTGTAAAGCCAATAAAATTAATCTAAATTCACAGTGGGTAAGAGAAGAGTCAGGATTTGAACTCAGGCTTGTCCTGCTCCAAAGGTCCGTCTTCTTTCCCACTCGCAGGTTCTCAAACACTCTCGGTGATGGAGGGAGAAATGACTGCTATTTCATTCTTTCTGCAGAGGCTTCCTAGCCCTTGGCACTGGGGTTTTTAGCTATTCTTTTCCATTTTCAGCGTCTAGGTGGCATTCACACCATAGCAACACGAAGGTTCTTGGCTGTCAAACACGACAAAGAAGGGAAAATGCTGAGGGAGCTACGGTCACGGTCTCCAGACTACGAAAAGGCAACCAAATATAAAAGAGGGCCCTTTTTCCCTTGTGCTGCATACCAACCCCCAGAAAAAATGTGGACAGCAAAGGTGGTCGTGCCTGCAGAGGAGTTTAAAGTGCCCCAGCGAGAGATGATCGACATCAGCAAACACGTACAAAGGATGCGGCTAGCCAGAGCCCTGAGAAATAAGCAGTGTTTTCCATGCACCCAAAGGCTCAGGAATGCCCAGATGGTGTCTGGAGCAGACCTGAATCCCTTGGAAACAGACAAGACCAGTGAAGAGCAGGACAAGGGTGACAGTGATAACTTTGACCAAGCCAGTCAGGAGGAGGAACAGGAGGCAGAGCACAAAACCACAAAGGCACGAGAAATCATAATGAATGTGGTTTTCAAGTCAGAAGAACTCAAGCCGTGTGTAGTATGCCATCGAAATGATCGTAAAACGTTCCTTCCCGTAAAGCGGGAACGATGCATCACAGGCCTAACGAACAGAAATCTCTTCTCCATAGCTGACTTTCCTGGAGACCTGATGCTCATGCAGCAGGATTTTAAATCGCGGGGAATCCACCCCAATGACGCTATTCAGACCTACTGGGCACAGGAAGAGGACGCCTGCAGAGAACAACCACACAGGGCTTCTCGCTGTCTGTACTAAGCTTCGTCCTTTCCCAAGCGTAACTGAGTGTCCTGTTCCTTATTTCCCCTGAGCAGTGTGCCTCAGGCTCCTCCCCACCATTTCTTCTTTTGGATCCTTTGGTTTCTCTGTTCTGTCTCCAGGAGATCCCCCAAATGAGACCTTGTTGCTGAGGCTTTCTTCATTTCCTGAGACTTTTCAGTCTTAGCTCCCACCCTCACCAACCACCCAGGCCTCCCTGGTCTAACCTATTCCCCATTGCCTGCTCCTACCTACTCTGCCTCCTCTTTCTCCTCCGGCATCTGTATTGTTATGGTGAAAACAAATGTTAGTGTTCAAAGAATCTAGGTAAACCGGTGAGGGTGGAAGCATTAAGAGCATTTGCAGGTAGGTGTGAGATAGCCACGCTGACCAGGTTAGAGGAAGGACAGGGCTCTGGGGAAAAAGAAAGGCGGACTCAGAAGGCTCTTCCTGCCTCCCATGAAGTCTTTCCTGAAGAGCCCAGTGTGGTTACTCTTTGTAGGCATTTTCTTCCAGTGTCCTCACAGCTAATAGCTGAGGATTAAATTGTGGGTAAGGATGAATTCTAAAAGCGCCGCCTCTGTTGCAGGAAAGAGATCACAAAAACTTGCAGTTACATCTTGGTAGCTGTGATAATGATTTCTTCACAGGCAGCACAGACGAGGGGTCTGTAGTAAACTACAAGCTTGTCATGTAAATAAGAGAACATGGTTTGTTAACAACTAGCAGACCCTGCCAAGGCTGACGGCTAGCAGACCCAGACAAGGTCAACAGCTGGCGACTGAGACGAAGTCAAGGAAAAATAAACAGGGGTGACTGCAACTTACAACCACTCCCCTGAATGGGGGAACAATGTGTGACCGTCTTCCTAGTTAGGCAACTGGACATACCCAGAGCAGGAGAGCCCCATTGTCTAAGCCCGAAATATGTCCAGAGAACTAGCCAATCTTAATAAACATTGTCTCTGTTCCACTTCTGCCGGAAGTCCTATGAAAGCCCCAGACTAACCGCTCATGGCTGCCCCCTAGGGATCGCACCCCGGTGAGAGTCTTACCTTCCTTGCTCTTTTCTGAATAAATTTGCTCTCTCTTGCTCCCTCCTCCTTTGTCTATATCTTTATTCTTCATTAACATGAGACATTGAACTTGAGAGTCACAATCTCAGCTTGAGTCACCTTGGACGGTGAGTCAGACCCATCTGGGCCTAGAGAGGTCCCATCACTCTCCAAGTTTTACATCAGTATCAGTCATCAAGTTCTACCAAAACAAATAACCCCAAAATCTAGTGGCTCCAAACACTAATCTTTAAATTGGCGTCTAAGTCTATATGTGAGCAGTTTAGGTGAGGCTCAGCAGGTTGTGGTCCTGGCTTTAGCTTAGTTTCTTATGTCTCCATACTCAGCTGCAGGTCAGCTCAGTGGAAGTGCCTGGACCACACACTTCCTTTTTCCTTTCTCCAGCAGGCTAGCCTGTGTGTTCATGGATCTGTTGTTGAGTCCAAAAGGGGAAATGTAAGTTTGCAATACCTTTGGAGGCCAAGGCTCAGAACTGGCATGCCATCCTGTTTTCCACATTTTCTCAGTTAAGGCAAGACTTACAAGTCTGATCCAGATGTAAGTGTGGGTAAGTAGACTTCATGTCTTGATAGGAGGCCATATTGCAAACAGCATGAACACGGGAAGGTAGGTAGAGTTAGCATCATTGTTATAGTCAGCCTACCAGAGTCCCATTAGCTGGTTTCAGCCTGTAGAAAAGAACTGAGCAAAGGGAGGTGTCCCCTAGAGCAAGGGGCTGTTCAACACTCTTCCTCCTCCCTAGTCATTCAGCTTCAGCCTTGAAAGGCAGATCAGGCTCATCCCAGCCTTTGCAACGGCAGTAATCCACACCCTTCTCTCTAAGGCAAGTGCAGCTGCAGGAAGGTGTTACTGTGGCATGTGCAGAGTCTCATGAAGAGACTACAAGTCCCATGAATGCTTTCCTCTACCCAACATGGTACACTTAGGAGACGATTAGGGCAGGGAGACCTTCCCAAGACTTGTGCTCTTGTTTTGACAGAGGTTTAACCATTAATTAGGGTAGCATAGAGAAGGACAGACCCTTCCAGATGTGCTATGAGATATTAAAATGGATTCTGGTACTATGAGTTGGCTCAGCAGTTAAGAGCACTGGCTGTTCTTACAGAAGACCCAGGTTTGATTCTCAGCACCAACATGGCGACTAACAACCATCCATAACTCCAGTTCCAGGGGATCCTACATCCTCTTCTGACCTCAGCGGGCATTGCACAACACGGGTGCACTTACACACATGGAGGCAATACACTCATATACATAAAATAAAAATAATAAAAAAATTAAAAATTGATTCTGTGTATGCGTGTGTGTGCAGTGCACATGTGTGTGAGTGCACATGTATATGAGGGCAGAGGACAACTTCAGGTGTTGTTTCTCAGATAAAGGTCACATTATTTTTTAAAACAGACCAGGCTGCCTGACCAACGGGCCTAAAGGCTCCACCTGTGTGCCTCTTTCATGTAATCTTCTGAAATTACAAACGTGTCCTCACACCAGGCTTTATTTCACATGTGTTCTGGGAATCAAACTCAGGTCCTCCAGCTTGTAAGGCAAGTACTTGACCATCTTCCTAGGCATGAAAATAGATTCCTATGGAAGAGAATAAGGCCAGACGTTGGCAGGTCTGTTCCCTGGACACTGTCCCTCACGCTTGCACACATGCACTCTTCCATGGATTGATCACTGTGTAGCTCCCATCACAGCACTCAGCTTCTCTGAGATCTTCCAATCTTCTCCGAGTCACACTCTCCACTGGCCACCAAATCACATCGTCATTGTGACTAGCGCTGACTCTGTCAAGCCAGGAGTGCAACAAAGCTCCCATAGAACCTGGGCAGGAACCAAACACCCCTTCCCTTTCTTTCCTAGTACTCAAGACAGAAGAACGGCTGCCCCCTGCCCTGTTGGCTTGCCCCCTAGTGGCCAGACTGTTTTCTTGATCCTGGGCGTACAATGAAAATCTGAAGCATTTGGGGCATTTCCAGCACCCACATAGCAGCTAACAACCATCTGCAAATGCACTGTCCACACTTCAGATTTTCATTGAACACCCATAAGCAAGAAAACAGTCTGGCCTCTGGGGGAGGGGGGCAAGCCAACAACATAGAACTTAATGGTTATGGGCAGGGAACAGCCGTTCTTGCAGGGGATCCAACACTCTCTCTGACCTCCCCGGGCACTGCGCAACACAGGTGTACTTACACACACGCAGGCAATACACTCATACACATAAAAAAATCAGTATTCTAAAAAAGAAAATCTGAAGTGTTCATTAAACACTGCACTCTGGACCTAGAAATCAATCAAAACGAGCTGAACGGGGAATGGGTCTCTAGCAGCCTCCAAAGTATCTTCTGGCTCTACCTGGGCATCAGAAATAGATAGGAGGAGGTGCATCCCGGGCCACATCTAGGACAAATGAAAGTTTTTGTTCCCCGAAGCAAAACTCTGATGCTGAGTCTAGGCCGGCACATTCAGCATTAGAGAAATGTGCCACATTCACTTATCAACGTCATGTGGGGTACACAGGAGTCCCCCATCATAGTCTCCTCAGCAACTCCTTACAGAGCTGGGAAGACATGTACTTGTCTACCAGAACCAACAGGCCAGGTTCCTTCATGACTCCTGCTCTCTCTCAGTAGGGTTTTCACCAAGAGTTCTTTCAGAACCACACCTCCCTCCAAGCAGAGGAAGAGTCCATCCTTTCTCTCTTTCCTCGGTCATTCCATTGACCACAGCTACAGGTGAAAGGAAATCATTCTGAATTGTTTTATTAGCAGCTGCAGCGGTCAAAGCAGTGGCTTTCAGAAATAAAGAATTGTTCTAAAATCTCAGTGGATTCTAATTAAAGAATCAGTGTAAACCTAAGAAATTGACATCAACTGAGGCAAAGTTATAAATTTGAGTGGAAGCAAAATAGTATGTTCAATGTTGTATAACTTTATAAATACAAAATTTAGACTATCATATCATCACCTGAAAACTCAAACCAGTTTGAAAACACTAAAGACTATTTTACCAGATCCTAAAAATTGCCCATCTACACAATGAGGAGGTAGCCAACCTTACCTCCCTCTCTGTCATAAAACTCTCTAGTCCCAGCAACAGGCCTTCGGAGACCCCTGATCAACATGCTGATATGTCATCAAGAACCTTAACTGTGGCAGCCACAGGCAGAGCTGAGTGTCCTCTGTCCTATAAAATGTGAGCTAAGAGATCTCCTGCAAGTTCCTAGACATCTCAGATTCCTCATCAGTGGGTATGAGCAATCACAGCATCTATGTCATAGGAATGACGGAGAAGTGAATGAGATAAATCACGGGGGAATCAGGGAGAGTTACTGAAGTATAACCTCCTGTTAGCTAAGAGTTTGGAAATCTGACTTCTGCTTATCATTATGGGCTTCATCCTAGTAGTTCCCATCATGCCTTGAAGTCTGTCCATTCCATAAGCCTAGGTCAAGGCCACCTCCGAGCAGCCATTTCAAATATCACCATCCCTCACCTAGATGAATGCAAGTTGTTCCTCCAAATTGTTCCTCAATGGACTCTCATAACTCACAACCCACCCAGCAACCAGAGTGATCATTAAAAGCATAGGCCCATCACATCCCTAGCTAAAACTTTCATGTGACTTATATCACTCCAAATAGATACATTGACGTTCTTGCCTCTAGTGCTTCTGAATGTGATTTATTTGGAAATAGGATTTTTACAGAGGTAATTAAGTTAGAATGAGATTAAGTGAAAGTGAGTCCTGCTACAATATTATAGCCTAAAGGAATGTCCTAAAGTGTCAAATGAGTTTTCTTAATATGCAGTTAACTTGGAAGGTATATGGAGTTAGGGAATTGTAGAGGAAAATGTATTGACTTTACACAGACATATAGAAGTGAATATCGGTCATACTTCTGGCTGAGTCACTTCTA